GACTATGTAACGTAGGTTGGATCGAGACTAAGGGGGAAGGGGTGTTATGTACGTGGACCGCCACCAGGGGTCCGTGGTTAGAGCAGGAGCTTGGTCGCCAAACACAAAGGGGACCTAGGATCCTTGTCCACCCGTGAGTCCACCAATAGCACCCTTGGTGGGAGATTCAAACCCTCCAATGGGGACAGAGGTGTACTGGGTGGAGTGTATATAGTTGGCCTTGCAGGGTAATTTTGTGTGTCTTGTTGTGAAGTACAATAAACGCGTCTGAACGCTTGTCGTGGTCCAAGTTCTCCATGCATCGAACCAAGTACTTTTCAGGTTGGTTTTGTGAGTTGAAGTGGGGAAGAGGGTAGCCACATTAGCTGGGTATATGCACGTTAGCAGGCTGCTTGAGTCCTCATTCAGCCATAAAAGGTGACTTTGGACCAGTTACTCTCTCTCAGTTGTGAGGTTATGGTAAAGAACATGAGAACCATGTATCTGCTCCTTGGATGATGGCTGGAAAAAATGTGATATTTTATTTTATTTTATTTTTTATTTTATTTTTTGCATGTATACCCCGCCCTCCCCGATGGGCTCAGGGTGGCTAACAAGGGCAAGGTAAACCATGCCATAATTAAAAGACATAACATACATAATAATTTTAAACATAACAATAACAATAATAACAATAATAACAATAATAACAATAATAACAATAATAACAATAACAACAACAACAACAACAACAACAATAATTAATAATAATATCTTTCGATTTATTAATCGCTCGATCCTGCAGAGCTGCTGGCTCTGAGCGATTTACAGTTACTCATATACACACGGGACTAACAATGATAATTAATAATATTATTTAAAACATCAATACTTAAAACACCGGTGCTCAAACATCCAATGTTATAGGTCCAAAGATGGCATCAATATAGTTCCGGTGATATTTCCAATGGTGTTTGCAGCCACAGGAGAACGGCTTAGATGCAGGTATTTCAGATGTTTCCTCAGGGCCTCGTCAAACCTTGACGGTGATGGTATAGTAGGGGCGGCGGCTCCTACTCAAAAGCCTGGCAGAAGAGCTCCGTCTTGCAGGCCCTGCGGTTAGGGTTAGGGCTAGGGTTAGGGTTAACCCTAACCCACCATTTAAATAAAAAAAAATACTTTTGTAAAAGCTTTACAATGAACAAAACATTTACATGTCGTGGCAGTGAGGAATTTGCTCTTTTGTCCTATGTGATTCAACAGTTGTCCATGATGATAGTCACACAGGTGCCTTGCTTATAACAGCAACTCCAGAGCTAGTAGTGCTACCAGGTGGAGAAATATGGCCATGTCAACAATGGCAATTTGCATGTTGATGTCATTTTAACTTACCATTCAGAACAAGAGTGATGTTTGTACCATGTGTGAATTTGTGGATCTGGGACAGAATGTGGAAGAGAATTCAAATGTATGTTCTACCCAACATAGATTTTATACATAAAAATGGATTTAAAATCTCATGTATAAAAGTGTCCAGAATGCTGTTAAAATCAATTTTCATAGCAACACAAGCTTTACACTGATTTACTAAAACTGTCTGGGACAGCTACGTGTTACCCTTGTCTGATTAACATGCTTCTGCTGCTCTAAATTGCCTCTCTTCTTCAGACAACACATCTGAATCGCCAGAAGCAGGGATGTTCTACCTGTGGTGGGCAAACTCATTAGTCAAGAGAGCCAAATATCAACAGTACAATGATTGAAATTTATTTTGAGAGCCAAATTTTTTAAACTTAAACTATATAGGTTGGTACATTGTTATTAAACTAATTAGGGTACTCCTAAACTGGACTTTGCGAAAAAGGTCCTCAATCTGATTGAGGTACGTTCGCTGAGGTCAACCCGTTCCAACTCTCCCATCCACACTCGTCTTGTATACTTGTTTCGTCTCCTTTCGTTTATCCTCTCTATATCTCCAAAGTATCCATAAAATTAAATCATGACAAAATAAATCATGACAAACACTAATGTGAACAATGGCCTTGCATCTCCTTGGAAAGTTTGGGTAAGTCAGGTTTGTATGTTGTTTTTAATTTTAGGCACGCACTAGAGAGCATCAATATGTATGGCCTCACTGGACTAGATTCAAGGTTCTTAGCTAGCAGCTAGCATTCTGTTCCCAACTGCAGCCTTCCAGAGGCCTCTGGAAGCTCAAAGAGCTGTTTGCCCTCCCCCATTCTCTCAACAGCATTTCATATTAAGAGGTTCAGTGTCCCTGAACGCAAGCTTGATTAAGTTCACAATATATTTCATCTCTACGGGTTCCCCCCCCTAAACTTCCCACCCACATCTTGTGGCAGTGGCTTTCACAAGTTAATTGGGCGGGGGGGCAGTTTTCAGAGGCCCGCAACAGTCATCCTTCCTACCCAGCTCAGCTGTTTCAAGCATGCAACACCGAAAGCAGAGTCAACAAAAAGTGGCCACTCAAAGTTCCCTCTAAGCTGGGTTAGTGTGGGCTAGCTCAGTTTTTTAGCCTCCGGCTCACACATTTTTGTCTTAGCTCAGGAAGGATGGCTCCAGAGCAAACTAATTTATGCAGTAGTAGCCAAATCGCTCGCTCACAGCTTTCATGCCAGGAGCTCACGAAGTAGAATCTTTGCTCACAGGGCTCCACAGCTTGGAGGGAGCACTGAAACACCACAATGGGCAAGTAGTCTTGCAGAGTCGCACAGGACACCTCCAAGTAACTATGAGTGGGTTGTTTTAAAGGGGCATCCATCCACACTAAATCTTTGGAAGGACATTGCAATAAAGCCCCTACAACTGTATACAGAAATACTGAGCTTCCCTACCATTTGCCACAACTAGCCCACCACACAACCAGGATCAAGACTCCTAAGTGGACCAACAGACAGGCATA